TCTCTCTCTCTCTCTCTCTCTCTCTCTCTCTCTCTCTCTCTCTCTCTCTCTCTCTCTCTCTCTCTCTCTCTCTGTGTGTGTGTGTAGCGCCAAGAAGCAGGATCTGCAGCAGGAGGTGAATGTAGAAGACGATGAAGACAAGATGAAAACCTTTGTAGCTTTCCTAGCCTGTGTAAGTGTGATGAGGTCTTTCTTGCACTCTCCCGAGGCTGAGGAGAAGAACGATGTGGAGGAAAAGAATCACACAAAGGAAGAAAAAAAAAGGCCATGGAGAAGTAGGAACGAAAACATGAAAACCCTTGTAGTCGTCCTAAGTTCCTAACCCCTGTGCAAGTATGATGATGGCCTTTCCCACACTCTCACGGAGGCTGGGCGATATTGGCATCCCAGGCAGAAGGATGGAAGAAGAGGAGGAAAAGTATGATGTGGAGGTGCTGAAGTGGAGACGGATGACATAGAGAAGGACATTGAGGAGGAGAAAGATGAGGAGGCGGAGGGACCACATGGCAAACAAAACAGAAAGCAAAATTGTCATCAATAAAGAGAAAGCTAAAAGGATTTTACCATAGCCTCCTCCTCCTCCTCCCCCTCCTCCCCCTTTTCGTCTCCAACTTCGTCAAATCAGCACCCTCATCTTCCTCCCCCTCCCCCCCCTCTCATCATCATCATCATCGTCATCTAATCTCTCCTCCCCCCCCCTTCCTCTTCTTCCACCCCTTTTATCTTCGAATTATCATCGTTTCCCCATTCCCTTCCTTTCCCGTGCTCTCCTGCAGGGTAGGAGGATATTCACCTCTACCTTCTTCCCCCCAGTCATTATAGCTGTATTTGGGGTATCTTGCAGCCTAAATACAGATATAATAAACGTACGTTGTATTCGGGGGAAGAAGGTAGGGTTATACATGGAACAGGACATATGCAGAGGCCGACGTGAACGAGGACGAAGCGGAGAGGAGGACATGAAGGAGGACAACAGAAGAATTACGCGCAGGCGAGAGACATTGAAGGGAAAAGTAGGGAGCAAGGCATATGGTAAAGCAGAACAGAAAGAGAGAATCCGAATTAATCATGAGAGCCAAATTAAGCCACCATTCCCATCCCACTTCTTCCTGCCGTCAGCAACGTCATATCCCTATCCCTCCTCCTCCTCCTCAGCTCTCTCTCTGATAAGAAACCAAAGTACTTCATTCTCCTTTCTCACCCCAACCCTCTCTCTCTCTCTCTCTCTCTCTCTCTCTCTCTCTCTCTCTCTCTCTCTCTCTCTCTCTCTC